CCCCCCCCTCCAACCTCAGTAGCTGCCACTCACCTGGGTTGGGGGCAGAGAGCTGGAACCTGTGGTGAAAGGCTGGGCTGGTGGGAGGTGCTGTGGGGAAGTGAGCCTGCTGGTGGGATAGCCACCTATATAGGCTTCTGCTCTGGCTATTTTGGGAGGTGCTGCTCCCCCGCCCTCGGCCCCCTCCCCTTCCGGTGTCAGGTCCTCCTCAACTGTGGTGCTGGGTGTCTGTATCACATTCAGCCTCCCTGGACCCATCAGGCGAGGCCTATTAATAACCTTGGCCCCTGCCTCCCTTTAGCACCCAAAATTGAGGTTCAGGCCAGGCTCTCCTCTTCCACGAAGCCCTCCATGACCACTTTAGATGACAGCAGTGTTTCTGTCCTCCAGAATCCTGCAAGGAAAGGAAAAGAGAGGGGTGGAGCGGGAATCGTCTTCCGTGCACGGGGCTGGGCTGGGCTGGGGTCCTATACACTCAGCATGTCACTAGGGCTCTGGCCCCTCCCGCATGGAGAGGAAACGGAGCGCGAAGGCGCCAGGCCGGTGGTACAGGATTTACTGCTCAAAGCCCTGGGCCCGGAGCAGGAGCGCACCCGGCACTTTGACGGGATGACCCGGCGCCTGGCAGGAAGGCACAGTCTGCGCGTTTGTTCTCTGACAAGTCCCCCATCTCTTTGCCTCTCAGTCTCCCATCTGTAAAATGAGTTCAGCCAGGGGCAAACTTCGCTCTATAGATGGGCTTTGGGGGCCACGAATGCCCTGAAATATGCAAAAAGCCATGTGCAAGTGAGCTTCTGTGAAGCAAAGGCCCCCAGCTTTCATGAGAGTCACAGAGGGGGTCCCTGGTGCGATCTGCCTTAGATTGCAGATGACCGTCCAAGGGGTGCGTTTTGAAACGCACGAATGAATGGGTGAATTTGACAAATATTTATCATCTAGAATGAACCCTGTGAAAGGTTCCTCTCCTCATCCCCAGCCTTAAAAAGAATCTCCAGCCGCTGACATGGTCAGTGGGGAAGTCCAGTTCTTGACAGTGACATGAGGAGGCCCAGCCTTGCGCAAAGGCTGCTGGGAAGGGAACCGCACCAGCCCTTCAGG